TTGGGGGTATAACTCAGTGGTAGAATGTGTGCCTTGCATTTGCAAGGCCTGGGGTTCAATCCCTAACCCCACCCCACAAAAAAACAAGTTAGCAAACAGTATTATGGCATTATGCAACTCAACCTCCACTCCTCCTAGAGGCCTCCCTTGCTGTGTTAATCCCTCTGGACTACTTCCTCTAAACTCCTGCTGACCTTTACAATCAGTGACTGTGCATTGACTATCTTAGGTAGTTTGGTATAGGCCCCAGGGCTGGACCCTTAATTTCCACTGCCCTGTGTTAGGGCTCACTGTCTCATAGCGGCAGCTTGATGAGTGTTTTTTAAGCTCTAGATCTGCGGTAACAAACCAGCCATGGCTGCTGCAATGCTCCAGCCCTTCCTAGAGCAGCTGAGGCTAGCCATCCCCAGGTGGAGTGTGCCAGGACCAGCCCAGGGCAAGGTAAAGGGTTTGGGTTGTTCTGAGGCCAATCATCATGTCTGCTTCTGGGGAGTCCAGAAAAGGACGCTCTTCCCCTGGGCTTGCTTGTTCTCTGGAAAGGCAGGTGACTAGTTGTTTGTTCCCTTGTGTTCCAATAGACCCTCTGCATCCTTCAGGAGGAGCAGGTCAGACTAAAGATGAGACTGCAGGAGTTGCAGCAGCTAAAAAGGGAGCTCAGGAATTCTCCCAAAGACAAGGTAAGCAGGAAGATGACATTCAGTCTGCTGGAAAAGAGCTGGGGAGTTCTTTACTTTGGGCCCTGCCACTTCCTTGCTGTGTGACCTCAATGTGTTACTTTAACTCTCTGAGCCACAGTTTTCTCATCTGTAAAGTAGAACTACCTCTCAGCTTTGTATGAGAACAAACTAAAATCTTATATATAAAGTGTCCATTATGGGACTGAGCTATGTTATCCATTCATCAATCCAGCTCTTCTTTCAGTAAATGTATTCAGCTCTGTCAATCAAACTGAATTGGGGGCACCATCTACTCAGGAGGGATTAGGGACCTTTCTAACCCTTTATCAGCCTCCCTTTCTGTACCTCCAGATTCCATTCCCTGTACCAGAATTCCCCTTAGTGTTCCGAGGACACACTAAGCAGGGCAGACCAGTGCCCAAGTCTTTAGTTTCCAATCTTCGGATCTGCTGCCCTCTGCCTGGAGGGTCTGCTCTGGTCATTTTCGATGACCCCAAAGGTGAGCTTGGGGTGAATCTCAGGAGGGAGGCTGGGAGGTCTCCCAGTATTGACCATGTTCTTCCTGCTATCCAGTTGCTGATCAAGTGCTTCAACAAAAGGAACATAAGATTGACATGGAGGAGTGCTGGCTGCGGGTACAGGTCCAACCCTTGGAGCTACCCATGGTGACCACTATCCAGGTAACAGAATGATAAGATCCTGGGATATGGAAAGGGTGTGCTGTACCTGGGCTTCAAGAAATAGACTGAGTCTGGGATCACTCCTGCCTGTCTCTTCCTAGGTGTCCAGCCAGAGGAATGACCAGAGGGTATTGGTTACTGGATTTCCTGCTGAACTCAGGCTGAGTGAGGAGGAGCTACTGGACAAGCTGGAAATCTTCTTTGGCAAAGCCAGGAATGGGGGTGGGGACGTGGAGACTCGGGAACTGCTGCAAGGAAGTGTTGTGTTGGGTTTTGCTAAGGAAGAAGGTAAGGGCCTACTGCAGGGAGATTAGATTTCAGTGTGCATGAGGTCACAAGAGAGGAGAGGGCTTGAGGGTAAAAGTCTACCCTTCCTTGTTCCCCACAGTGGCCCAGAACCTGTGCCGGATTGGCCAATTCAGAGTGCCATTGGGAAGGCAGGAGGTTCCTCTGAGAGTCTTTCCCTATGTGAGTGGGGAGATCCAGAAGGCTGAGGTAAGTGGAACGGTGGATGATGGGGATTTAGACCTATCTATCTGCCATAAACCTGCCCTAGGATCAGGGCCTCTAAACCCTACCTACCTTACCCACCACCATCCTGACCCTTCCATATTCTCACAGGGCATCTGCTGCCCCAATCTCTTGATGAGTCTTTACCATCTCCTGGCTTATTTTTCAGATCAGATCCCAGACAGTTCTCCGCTCAGTGCTGGTACTCAACATTCCCGATGTCCTCGATGGCCCAGAGATGCATGACATCTTAGAGATTCACTTCCAGAAGCCCACTCGAGGGGGTGGGGAGGTGGAAGCCCTGGCAGTTGTGCCCCCAGGAAAGCAGGGCCTGGCAGTCTTCACCTCTGAGTCAGTCTAGGTTCTCCAACCAGCTGCGGTTGGGTAAGCATAGATCTTTACGTTTACTGACAGGGGGAAGGGATTACACATTGTGAACCGCTGCCAGGGAAGAGTAAAACTGCCTACTTGGCATGATGTCCTTCCTCATTTCATTCATAAAAGGAAACTTGATTTGGGTATGGAAGGGAGACTGGGACAGGGAAGAACCCTGACTTCCTGCCATCAGCACTGGCCTTCCAGGAGTTCACTTTTCCCTCCACTCTAAGGCAACATCAAGGACCCAGGGTTTGGCTTTTTATTGACACAAACACAAAGGCAGCTTCGGTAATGGGGTGGGGTACACAAAAGCAGAAATCGCACTTCCCACACGTAGGCCTCATTTAGACAAGGAAGAGGCTGAATCCCCCCACCCCCCACCTCCAATTAGCAATGGCTGGGGCAATAATCCTCCCTAATGCCAACTCAGCAGAGGGAGTTATTCTCCTCCCTAGGAAGTCCCCACTTTGGTTCCCATGGTACAGATCCTTACCACCCCCTTTATTTTCCTGCTCTATCTCCCCACCATGTAAACAAAGTTTGGGGCTGAGCTGAAAAGCTGCCTCCCTCTGGGAGAAGGTGGTGAGGCCTCCTTGACTACAAAGGGAATGTGCTTTGATTTTCACTTTGGTCCCAGAACAAGACACAACATTGCATCTCCCAGATCAGCCTGTTAAAGCTTCTCTTGTTCTCCTCCAGGTCTGATAAAAGACAGGACATGGCACAGACCACGTTGAGGGCAACTACTTTTTGCCCTGACCCCAAGATGCTAATGGCTGGCCCCCCACCCACTGGCACATACACAGATTTTTGGCAGTGTTGTAGGACTGGGGAGAAGTAAAACCCCATCTCCACCAGAATAAGGAAGGCACTGGGGAGGACAGGAAGGAGGAAGCCAGAGACAGGGATCCCCCCCCTCAAATACACACACACAAGCACAGGTTTTCCGATGCTAAGGCACTGAGAACAAATCCAGAGACCTCAGTGAAGGGTAGGGGTGCTCTGCCTTCCTCCCAGAGTTGTGACCTGAGACATGGGTCTGTTTCCTGTCCTTGTTATAAGAGGAGGCCTTGGTTAAGGTTGGCAGAAAACCTGGAAGTGGAAGTAATCTAACTGTGCTTAATAAATTGGGGACAGTCGACAAAGTTGGGAACTGATCAAGCCCAAAGGTGGGTGCTGGTCGGCCCTGGGCTGAAGGGACATTAGGGAGAGACAGGTACATGCTGGGCTCACACAGATTGGCCCCATATCCTGAGCTGACATTTCAATTCTTTGGAGAGGTGGTGGGGCAGGGGTGGGAGAGAAGATGAGGCAGAAGCGGAAGCACACACAACAGGATGGGGAGGGATTAGCTAACCTTGGCACAAAAGCAGCACAGCAGGCCCGGGAAAGGGTGGGGGCAGGAAGCCATCAGCCTCCTTCTGACCCTCCCTGTCCCCTTGGCAGGCCCCAAACATCCAAGTGGTCACTTCCCAACCTCTTTGAGGGCAGGAAGGGGGGAGGGAGCAGCCCTGACCAAAGAGAAAGAACAGGGCCCGGAAATGTTCATCACCACAGAGACCTTTGGGGAGAGAGGGAGGGAAGAGCATTATGATAAGAGGATGAAATGTGAGAGTCTGGTGGTCATCAGAAATGAGGCTTCCCAACCTTCCCTTCCCTTTCCAGGCCTCAAGGGTCCTCAGTCCCTTGTCCTAGTTCTCCTTCTCTGACCCAGGAACCAGGAGGACCTTGCCCACATTCTTTTTCTCCTGCATCTGCTTCATAGCATCAGTCACCTGGAAGGAAAGAGAAGACTCTGATCCCATCTGGTCCCCGTCCCACAAGAGGCAGCCCAAAGGAGTTGTTTCCCTCCCTCATCCCTTGAGACCACACCCTTCACAAGGCCTACTTAGGCCCTGCCACCCTGAAAAGTCACCACACTCACCTTCTCAAAGGGCCAGACGGAATCAATGTGAGGTTTGATGAGACCCTGGTTGTACAAAGCCAGAAGGCGGGCCACCACGTTACTGACCAGCTCTACCTCACCCTCTAGGTAGCCCAGGTGAAAGCCACACACAGCCCGGTTGGCCTGTAGCAGCTGCAGAGCTGTCACACTGAACTGATTCCACCACGTGCGGGCTAGGGCCATCAGATTCCGCTTGGGGCCCGTCAGCAGGTTGGCCATTCCTGAGGGGTGGGGCGATAGGGCCTGTGATCCAAGTGCCAAGTACATGCCTGAATGTATGAATCCATGCTCATGTACCCCTGTATTTCCTTGCAATTCTCCATACCACTGCCACAGAGTGCAGGATGATTCCTTACTTCTGCTTACTTGGCCCAAATCCTCTCAGGCTCACTCAGAATCTAATCTTTATTTCCTTTTTTTTCAGTGCTGGGATCAAATCCAGGGTCCCATGCATGCTAGGCCAGTGTTCTACCACTGAGCTGCATTCCTGACCCTAAACTTTTTGTGTGGAGTAGTTTTTTAAAATGAAAATCTAGCTTGCCTAAGAGGCCCAGCAGGGGAAGTCAGAAGGAAAGCAGACTGGTTGGTTTTGTATCAGGAATTGTCCCCAGACAGGAGCACAGAGAGAACACAATGATTTACTATGACTCACAAGAAAAGTTACAAAAGAGAATGAAAGTAGCTGGCACCCAGCAGGCAGCAACCTGAGTGTAACCCTGATCCTCTCTGTAGAGCCCCCAAGTCTCTGCACCTTCTTCATTCAAAAGCCACAGGCTCTTATATCTCAGTTTCCCACTAATCAGACCTACCCCACCCTCCTGCCCCTAACAGCCTCTCCATCTCTGGCTCAAGAACTCACCATAGGTGACGACTTTGCCCATGGGTTTGAGGAGGTTGTAGCCCTTGGCAGTATCTGACCCACCCAAAGAGTCCATGACGATGTCCACTCCTGTCACAAAGTAGGGGATCCAGGAACAACATTAGGATCCACAGATCTAAAGACCTTCTTCCGGTCTTGTGACATCCTACCCACTCCCATACCCTGACCCCCTACCTTTGGGGGAGATCTTCTTGATCTCATCCACATAGTCAGTTGTGTGGTAGTCGATAGGATGTGTGACCCCATTCTCCTTCAGCACCTTATGCTTGCTGGCTGAGGCTGTTCCGAACACTGTCACATTCTCCACTGTACGACACAGCTGCACAGCTGCCATACCCACACCACCTGCAGCAAGATACCCAGAAAAGGTCTGGGGTTATAGCTCAGTGGTAGGTACTACTAGCATGGGTAAGGCACTAGGATCAATTCTTAGCACCCCCATATAAATAAACAGGTAGGTAGATAGATAAAAAATAAATAAATAAAGGTTCATTGACAAAAAAAAAAAAAAAAAAACCATCCAGAAGAAGCGGATATGG